CTCCACCCCAAAATGAAAATTTTGTCATTAATCACTTACCCCCATGTCGTTCCAAACCCCTAAAAGCTTCGTTTGTCTTCGGAACACAATTTAATATATTTTGGATGAAAACCGGGAGGCTTGTGACTGTCCGATTGACTGCCAAGTAAATTACACTGTCAAGGTTCAGAAAAGTATGAAAAGCATCGTCAGAATAGTCCATCTGCCATCAGTGGTTCAACTGTAACGTTATGAAGCGATGAGAATACTTTTTGTACACGAAGAAAACAAAAATAACGACTTTATTCAACAATTTCTCTCCTCTGTATCTCTCCACATCACCATAGCGCCATTTTGTAGACTATGAGCTGAACGCAAACTGCGTACGCTATACTGTGTCAGCCGCGCCACAAGGATACGTTTTCTGCGTGTATTTACGCTTTGATTTGAAAGAAAACAGTGCACCCACACAGCGCCGCTGACACAGAAGAGCGTACGCAGCTTGCGTTCAGCTCATATTCTACAAAATGGCGCTACGGTGATGTGGAGAGACACTGAAATATACATGTATTTTGGTTCATTTCAAATTGGTCAGAAGGGGGTGCAAATGTAATGGTAGGCTGGAGGAAATGTCCAGTACCTTTCAGAGAAAACTCTCCAGAGAAAGTTCTCCAGAAGAATAAGAGTCCGCCATCTCCATATGATTGGAATGTCACACTGGAAGACACAAACATAGAGAAATCTTTAAATATCAACTGTTACAACAACATAAAGGTCAATTACTTTAACTGATAACTACTTACAGATGTAAAATCGAACGGGTGCTCCCAAGACAAGATGTACTGGAAAACAACAAAAAAATAAGAACATTCTTCCTGTAAATAGCACAAAAAAAAACTTACTTGTTCCTTATTTAACAACTAAATAATCACACCAATAATTGGTTGCAAAAATGTATAGTATAGCCTAAAATAAATAAATAAGTACACAGGTAAACTATTATGCAATAATATATTGTGAGTACATATATTAAACAAACAACTCAAGATATGCATACCTCCACAGACAACTGTTTTGTTGAAGTGGATTTGAAGATGACTTTTTAATTTGACCAGTTTAGCTGGCTTAAACAACCTAATTATTTATTTAGCGAAATCCACCGACAATAGTATTTTAATACGTTTTCCTATAAGGGTAGCCTAATGGTGCGTTCAAGTCATGTCGGATATATCGTATTTACGAGTTGAACGCACATGAACGCCACCACAAAGTCGTTATTACGAGTGGGGAAACTAGAAATTTTCTTTAAGCCCCGAGTTTCCGAGTTGGGGGCGTGTCAATGAGAAACATGGCGGAATCGATGGATGCAACGGCTGTAGTTGAC